TGTAGAAAAATTTAATCCCTCTCAAATAGGGCGATAAGCTTCTCTATCGTCTACTGACAGATCGTGATGACAAATACTTGAGTTGACTAATCAAAATATCATGTAACGTAAAACAAATGAATGAATGAATCAACACCAACCGATTCTTATCCTTCCATTCATATCTACTCACAAAATTCGAAAAAAAAAAATGTTGAAAATAATCTTTACAATCAATACTAAAGAAGCCAAATCGAGCATGAATCATCAATCAAATTAGCCAGCATATCTCGCAAGAAGAAAATCATACCTTGGAGATAAAGGGATTTTCCTCTACAACCTTTAGAAGTCCATCATCAGTAACTCTCACACAGTTCTTCAGAGCCAGAAACCTTAGCCGGCCATTCGCTTTTGACGTAACTTTCATCAGAATATCATCCGAAAGACGCTTGTTCAAAGGCAGTTCGACTATTATGTTAAGCCAGGGCAATATGTCATTGTTTATAGCATCTCTAAGTGATTTGCAGACTTGGGTCATTGAAACAAGCTCAAAAACAGGAAGAAAAGCTAAGACAAAGAAAAGGGCTTCATGTGGTGGCCCTGATTCAGAACAAGTACTCATGGTTTATTGAAATGAATATGATAGAGAGGAATATATTTATGAATGGAGATAATGAAGTAGGGCAAGTTGCGTATGGAAATTTACAAAGAAATTGCGACTTATATGTCGGTATATTCGTTTTCAAAATGGCACCTTTATCCAATTCTTGGTTGACCTATTTATAAATTGCTAATTCTGTGATATTCTAATAAATATTCAATATGAATAGTGTAAAGTTGGGAACAATGAAAGCAACTCCAATTATTGACCCATTTGGTTGTTTAATTTATAAAATAAATTCTTTATTTTTTATCTTATTTTAATTAATAAAAAATTAAAAACTCTCCAAATATTTCAATTAACAATATTATACTATTATTGACCCATTTGGTTGTATAATTTATAAAATAAATTCTTTATTTTTTTATCTTATTTTAATTAATAAAAAATTAAAAACTCTCCAAATATTTCAATTAACAATATTATACTATTATATAATATTATTTATTATTGGAAAATGGTGTGTAAAGTATAATACACGTTTCAAAATGCAAAAAAATTATGTGTAATAAATTATGCGATAATATATAAAATATATTATATCACTTTAATAAATCAGATCAGATTGACCTATTAACGAATTATTGGATTTGGATATTGATAGGGTTATCGGACTGATATCTTAAATCTATCTTTCAATAATTTCATCGAATTCGAATCAAAATCCAATTTATTGACGGCCCTACTTATAGAGCCTCAAAGGGAGACGTAGAGAGATTTTCTATTGAACTTCTGTCCCCTTAAAGGGGAGGATATATTTGTGTTTTTTTTTTTTTGTCATTTTTTGCTATCTTTCAGTTGTTGATGGTTGACAGTTTTTGAATGTTGATACGATTATGAACTGGGTCTAATTGAAGTGCAAATTGTGTGAATATAAGTTTATCTTGATTTAGTATCATATATGACTTCCATTAGTTTTCATTGTGAGTAGTTTGACGGGAAAGGAAAATTTCCTATTTGGCAGTAAAAGATTGAATTGAAGGTATTTTGGTACAAAAAAACTTGGCTAAGGCTATAAATGAATCATGTGTTGCTACCATTATTGCTGATCATATCACATAAAAGAAACTAATGATTTGGCCTATACTTCTATAATCTTGCATCTTTTTTAATATGCTTAATGAAAGGTTAGCAAATAGATGATTCTAAGGCACTGTGAGATATGCTTGAGGAAATCTACCTTGAAAAATCTCTCCCCAGTGATACCACAAAATCATAGGAGATAGATAATCGCAAGCAAAACACAAACGGAATATTAGTGATAACCATTCATCGACAATCTCCTCAAGATACAGAACATGACTGTGCTCACCACTGCAAGGACAAAGGTCAAGAGATACTGAACATTCAAGAAGAAAACTCTTCTTTAAACGAGCTCGATTCACTGCAGTACCTTAAATGGACCATCAGCTCGAGGCATTAGCTTCCCATACTTCCATGTTGGAAAACACTCCTTTAGAAGATGAATCCACACCGTATCTCCTTCCTTGAAAGTCGCAGGTTTACGATGCTTATTAGCAATTGCACAATACTTTTCATTTTACTTAATAATCTTATCTCAAATTTGTTCATGCATCTTCTTGATATCCTTGACTCTATCATCAGCATCTCCACTAAATTGTTGCTTCGAAATAATAGGAGCCAAATCCAATGGGCTAATTGGATTGAGTCCATACACAGCTTCAAAAGGACTGCAACCGGTAGTTTGACTTGTGGAATGGTTATAGGCAAACTTTGCCTGAGCTAACATAAGATCCCACTGACAAATATTTTTACCTACAAGGCTCCTAAACAAATTGTCTAAGCTTTGATTAACAACTTCAGTCTATCCATTAGTTTGAGGATGATGAGACGTGCTAAAAAGCAATTTCGTACGAAGTTTTCTCCATAAAGTGCGCCAATAGTGACTTGTAAACTTGGTATCCCGACCTGAGACAATTGTTTTTGGTAACCCATGAAGTCGCACAATCTCTCGAAAGTACAAATCAGTTACATGTGAAGCATCCATGGTCTTATTACAAAGAACAAAGTGTACCATCTTCGAAAAGCAATCAACAACCACAATGATTCAATCTTTGCTCCTTTGTGTTCGCGGTAACCCCAGTACAAAATTAATGCTAACTTCCTCCCATGGTGAATTTGGAACTAGTAATAGAGTATATAAGCCGGTGTTTTACCCATGACTTTTGGCTATATGACAAGTCTTGCAACGTTCCAGATGTCTCATAATGTCTCTCTCCATTCTAGGCCAATAAAAATGTGATGCCACCAATGAAAGAGTTTTGTCATGCGCAATATGTCAGCTAGGTCACCTCCATGAGCTTCTAGAATAATCGCCTCACGTAATGAACATCGAGGAATACATAAATGATTATCTTTGAACAGATACCCATCCTGTAACACAAAATGATTAAATGGTCCTTCTATACATTCAGTTAGGATAGCACCAAAATGTGGATAATCCCGATACAGCTCCTTGAGAAATTCGACTTAGTGCGTCTGCCACTTTATTCTGAACCCCTGACTTATGCTTAATGGTGAATGAGATGGTTTGCAAAAATTCCACCCATTGAACATGTCGACGATTCAACTTGTGTTGTCCATTGATATACTTCAATTCTTCATGATCAGAAAAGAGGACAAACTCTTTAGGCAAAAGGTAATGACTCCAATGCTCCAAGGTTTGTACAAGAGCATAGAACTCTTTATCATATATAGAGTGTCGCTTTCAAGAATCACTCAACTTCTCGCTGAAATAGGCAATATGCTTTCCTTCTTGACTGAGGACAGCACCAATTCTCACATTTGATGCATCACAATCTATTTCAAAGACAACTTCAAAATTGGGCAACCTCAAGACAAGGGCTTCAGTCACCTTCCTCTTTAAAACCTCAAAACTCTTATGTACTTCTCCAGTCCACTCAAATATTCTACCCTTCAAACAATCAGCGATAAGATAAATAATGGTACTAATTTTTTTTTATAAAATGATGATAAAAAGAAGCTAACCCATGAAAACTTCGAATATCCTGAATGGATTTTGGAACATGCCAACTTGTAATTGCCTCCACCTTACTTGGATCCATCTTGATTCCATCACTTGAGACCACGAAGCCTAAGAAGATCAAGCTCGTAGTGCAAAGGTGACATTTTTTTAGATTGGCATAAAGCTTCCGCCCTTGCAGTTTCTCAAAAACTTGACGAAGTTGTATCAAGTGTTGCTTAATATTTTTACAGTATACTAGAATATCATCAAAGTAAATCACAACAAATAAACCTATAAAAGGTCTAAACATATGATTCATGAAGCGCATAAAAGTACTTGGGGGCATTCGACAACCCAAATGACATAACCATCAATTTATATAATCCATCCTTAGTCTTGAAAGCAGTCTTCCATTCATCCCCTGACCTCATTCTGATATGATGATAACCACTCTTGAGATCAACCTTTAAAAATACAGAAGCACCATGTAATTGATCAAGTAAGTCTTCAAGTCGTGGAATTGGAAATCGATACTTAATCGTAATCTTGCTCACTGCCCTGCTATCAATGCATATACGCTAATAACCATCCTTTTTTAGCACAAAAAGTGCTGAAACGTCATCTACTTGCCTATGTAACTCTCTTTGCTCCTTAGGGTTCATCCTATAAGGCTAGCACCAGGACTTGAAGACTTACTTGATCAAGTATTATGTCAGAAAATTCATGGAGTAAATTATCCATGATTGGAGGCAGCTCGGTATTTTCTTCATTCTCCTTTAGAACAACAAGGGCATAGGTCTCACAAGATTCTAATATATTCTTCTGTACTTCAGTTTTGGATATGAACTTATTTCCCTCCTCTCGAAGGTTTGACACTTTTTCTCTATTTTAGTATGTCATAACACAACCTTTACCCCATTTTTCACAAATGCATATGTGTTTTTGAATCCATGATGTTACTCTTCTATCATATTGCCATGGAGACCAAGCAACAAGCGATAAGCATCCATAGGTATAACATCACAATATAAATTGTCGGAGTATATATTGCCAATAGAAAATTGGACAAGACAACGCTTGTGAACTTTTACCTCATTACCCTTGTGAAGCCGAGAAAGCTTGTATGGTTGAGGATGATATTTTGTCTTGAGCTTCAATTTCTCTACCATTGATGCTACAATGAAATTCTTACAGCTTCCTCCCATCAATGATCACATCATAGACCTTGCCATGGGACGTACATCTCGTGTGGAAGATATTATTCCGAAGCCGCTTGTCATCTTCTACATGTGTTGCACTCAAGCTTCGATAGACCACCAAAGATTCTCCATGGTTAGCATAGATCAATTCCTCTTCTAATTCCTCGTCATTTGTTGGCTCGCCCAAATCTTCGACCTCACCTTCGTCTTCTTCTATGAAGGCAACAATTTTACGATTAGGGCAATCTGATGCAATATGGCCTATACTTTAAAATTTGAAGCATCGATGACCAGTAGAAAGATTGGAATGACCAAGATTAACAGTTGAAGATTCTGGCTTCAGAAAGATTTTTGATGATGATGACTTAGTAGAATTGTTCTTGGAAGGGCCTGCATTTCCCCGATTAAAATTAGTATTACAATTCATGGAACAAAATGCTCATCTACATGGCTCCTGTAGTTGTTTCTCAACCTTAGCTGCAAGTTTATACACATCGTTGAAAGTCCAGTAAGGTTGTTACTGTACCACATCATATATTTCAGCATGCAACCCGCCAAATAATGGGCTATGGTTTGCTCGTCGGGCTCCTCAACATCAACCACAACATCAGATACTCAAATTCAGAAGTATAGTGTTCAACAGATAATTCTTTCTACTTAAAATTATGAAACTTAAGGAAAGTATCTTGCCTGTAATTGTCTGGAAGAAATTTTCTCTTGAGGACTGATTATCCCGTTATTTGTCATTACCCAAGCATTAATCCCAAGGATATGTT